AAGGTTGACTCTAACCCGTACAGCCCATTGGTTGGGATTTTCACCCTGTTTCGTGATAGACAACTTGTCATATAATCTTTCACTATCAAAGAGTTGTTTGAATGGATCAGTATAATACCCAAAATAATTTCTGATATATGACTCAATATACTTCAAATTATATCCAGGGCAATTATTAATAGGTTTGGGTAATGTTCTATCTTTTTTGTCAAGAATAATAGTGATACCAAAACCAGACATATTTAGCAATTATAATAAGTTTAATGGTTTATATGTAATTTTTATTAACATATAGTCTAAGAATACATGATTCATTTTTAATAAAATGAAGAGATAATATATAGTAATACTGATATATTTGGACACGAATCCACGATACCTTTGAATGATAATATGTAAGTTTGAGGTGAGTTAGGCTTGACCGATAAATTGGCTTTTATTGGAATTGGAACTAGACAAAAGTTGTGTTTTGTACATATTATTATTAATTTCTGGAACAAAATCAACCATGTAAAAAAAAAATGATAATTGGCGAAATGTAAACTAATTAGGTAAATGAAATAATGCAAGATTAAATAATTTAGAGGTCAAAAAGAAGTCACATGTTGGATTGTTTATTAGTTTTTTTTGACCATATTTCACCCAGGAGGTGCAGTGATTTGGCAAGATCTTCGTTATTTTCACTGTAGCTATCCAAGAGTTTATCACAAACCTCACGTATAATGAGAGATATTTCTGACCGTGAAAGTCGCCAAACTACTTCACAGATCTAAGGGTTTTTAAATTTATATTAATTGAATTATTTTTTATATAATAAAGTTTTGTTCTTACAACTTTTACCTCTTCTCGATTCATTCTTAAAGGTCCTCCTTTAGTTTTGACCGCTACAAAACTAGAAATTACACCCGTTGCAAAATCAAGATTGTCAAATATATTACAGAATTTATTTAATACGATTTGCTTGGAATATTTATTTAAACAAGTTTCCGCCTTGGAAATATAAATTTTGCCTAACAAAAGTAGAAGGTTTTTGCCATTGGGTTCCATAGAAAGTTTTTGGGCTTCTTCCTGAAGACTTTCTTCAAGTAATTTGTCATTTTGTTTCGAAAATTGTGAAAGTTTGCTTTGTAGGGTTTGAACGATGTCGGATACGCGAATATCGTGGCGACGCTTTTTTTGCTCAGCTGATGTTAAATTCGTCAGTTCAGGTGATTTTTCTTCTTCTACATATGAAAATAAAAAAAGACCAATTTCTAAGTCGCCAATATAAGCTTTCCAAGAGTCACCTCCTACATACTGATTAAATGATGTCTTATTTCCCAAGGCTACAATCAATTAAATTTAAATGAATAAAGAAATAGATATAAAATTAAACGACGCATCGAGGAAATTTAAAGCCTACAATTATTTATTGTTCCGTGATTATCATAGAGAAAACGTTTGTCGTTATCTGAAAGAATTTCGTATGCTTTTAAAAGCTTGTTCCACTATTAAAAACATAAAGTTAATGTGCGAACACGAAGTTAAAAAAACAAATTGACGTAGTACCTCTTCAGTTTTTGTGTTTCCATTCTTATCCGGATGATGCTTTAGAGCAAGGTCCTTGAAACTTTTTTTAATTTCAGCGTCAGTTGCACCTTTTTTTAACTGAAGGATATCATATAAACTCGTTTCCTCTGGTTCATTAACTACTATCACATTTTAAACGATGAGTAAAATGTATAATAAATATTGGGACAATAAAACAAGCTGTATATACCATTAAAGTGTTCGGTCTCATTTGACCCGTTTAACCATTTTTTCATTATCGATTCATGGCGTTTTTTATGTTCTTGTATATTGATTTCACCATTTTCCAGTTGACGTTTGATTTCTTCTAATTTCGTTTTAAGATCCATTTTTAATAAATGACACACGAAACCTTTCTTCCTTTAAAATATTATTAAGTCTATATATACACAAAATGAGCCTAATCCTGTTCAATTTTATTCTTGTTCCTGTTCTAGTTCGACAAAATTTTTGGCCAATCAAATTCATTCATTACAGGAACAGGAACAGGAACAGAAATTCTCAAAACAACAAATATTAATATTAAATGAAAAAAATTAAAAAAGAAAGTTTTTTAATTGATAATAATAACTATTATACATTAGAAGAAACATCCGATTTATTCTGATAAACAAAAGTTTCTATTGGTCAGTTTTTGAGGAACAGGAATAAAACTGAACAGATTATTAACCTTTATAAACCATTTAAATCAAAAGTCATTTAACAAATACAACAATTTACTTAAATGAATAAAATTAAAAAAGAAAGTACTATTATTATTATACGAAGAAACATTCGATTTATTCTGATAAACAAAGGTTTTTATTGGTCAGTTTTTGAATAAAACTGAAACAGATTAACCTTAATAAACCCATATAAAGAAATCTTTACAATGAGTTATTTAACTCTATAAATACAATATAATTCACAACTTATGAGTAAAAAATAAAAACCAAATTTTAAATTGCTTCAAATTAAAATTCGCGTATGTTTATAATAATAAATGAGTATATTAGTATATATCTGATATATATTAACGAGTTACATAAACGTGGATTTTAATCCATTTAAAAATTATTTATATAGACTTAACATATATAACATCCATAATGGTCACTCTTGCTGAAAAACTCCGTGGTCTCACGGAAGCCTATAAGGAGGAACTTCTAACAAAAAAACAATATGATAAAATGCATGCCGAAATACTAAAACAATATTGTAAATGTAAGTTAAAAATGCAGTCAGACCCCATATAGTCAATAATCTCAGTACTAATCACCACTATCTTAATGAGAAACCATAATTACAATTTTTCAAAAAATCACTATGTTATCGATTCTGTGATTGCAGAGGGGTTTGACTGTAATTTAAGGCTTCTGATAACTTGTTTTTTATGTAAAAATGAACATCATTTGACACCTCTATCCTAAATGATTATTATAATTCTCAACATTTAGTTTCAGGAACATCAATGACGGTAGACAAATCGCGAGAACCATTCTGGAGAAGAATCTTTAATGAAGCAGTTCGACTCTCTAAGTTCACCTTGCGAACTCTGCTTATGCCAATCGTTAGTGCATGTACTGTGGGATTAATTCTAGGATAGTGGAGTTTTGTTTATCACATTTATCACTTCGTGATGGATGATCTTGTTGAAATTATATTGCGTGACATATTAATTTTAAAATGAAAATATATATGTAAAGTCACGTTTTTAATAAACAAAAATTTTTTTTTGTGAAATAATATTCAAATAAATTTTGTAATTGGTTATTAAATGAAGAGAGAGGCATAGTTAATCACGATCTTTTCGGGATAACATTAATATCCAAGAAGTCTACTAGAAACGACTTAATTTATATAGTAATTTTCCCATGGTTTCTAGATTTAAAAGGCAAGAAAATAAATAATACTGCAATTATGTACACTCCCCTACAAAAAATATCCGACCACTTGTGCCGTGTAACGTCAAATGAAAAAAGTACTTACTAAATAAAGTACGTTTTCTTAAATAAAACCTTTTCTGCTATACTAAGTAAACTCATATTTGATACCAAAACTCTATATTACGAAAATTTCAAACAGTTCGGTATGGTATTAATGGAAATATTTAGCAAATCATCCAAAAAAGCGAATTTCCGATTGAATTTTTACACGTAATAAAAGGTCAAATTTTTTTGTTGTAATGTATATTATTACCTTAATAAAACGTGCTTAACGTAACGGATTACATATATTTACAATACGGTGTCAGCATAAATTAGTTTGTGAAAAGGGTTTAAAAAAGTATCCGACCACCCCGTAATTTTTTGAAAAACAAAATTGATGCGTAAAGTCAAATTTTTTGATTTTTGTTTGCAAGATCAATTTCTAACCAAATTAGATAATCTTTTTTTTATTTTAAAGCTTAAAGCGAAGATTTTTTTTAGTCAAAATAATATGCAGAAATCAACAGAATTTTCTGATTTTGAACGGAAGGATTATTGATATGTGGGAAGCTGGCTTGAGCGAAAGAGGGATTCAAAAAAAACTGAGCATAAAAAACAACAATTCACGATACAATAACAAGATATAGAGATGGGGGCAAATAAAATCAAAACTAAGACCAGGTAGACCAATAATAGCATCAGCTCGTGATAAAAGAGGTCTTATAAAAATTGTTAAAAAAGATAGAACACAAACTCTCTTCGATGTCACTGACCAGTTTAATGAAACAACTAATTTATCTGTGAGTTCTTCAACTGTGCGTAGATATCTTCATGAATTAGGTTATTATGGTCGTGCTGGATTGAGAAAACCTCTTATAAGTGAAAAAAAAACAGAAAAGATCGTCTAGCATGGTGTCGTCTAAGAAAAAATTGGGTTGATGAATGGGATTTAATAATATGGAGTGATGAATCACGTTTTGAAATATTTCAAAGTGATTCTCATCATCATGTGTGGCGTAGTCCTCAATAAAAGTATGACGTTGACTGTTTAATCCCAACAGTAAAGCATGGCGGCGATGGAGTTATGGTATGGGGTTGTGTATCTTCTTGGAGGCAATTAAACAATTTCATTATTGCTTTTTTTTATTTTCTTGGACAAATTAGATTTTTATTTAAGGCAAATTATTTGTGGCCAACATTTCAATTTTGCTTTCTGTTTCATTCTTCCTAAATAGCAATTTACGATTAGCAAAATTCTAATTGCAATTATCAAATATCAACTAGCGTAATGCAATTGCAAATTGAATAATCCTATAAAATGGTTTGTAAAAAACTTCCTTTTTTTAAAAACAGAGGGTTAGTGAATTTTGAAGATTCACAAAAATAAAGATTTCAAAACATATACCTTTTATTAATAATTGTTAAATATAAAATATAAAATAAATATTAATAAAATTAAAAAGTAGATGAGTAATAAATAAATAAATAAACAAACAAACTAATTTCACAAGTGTGAAAAAATTTCTATTTTCTAAGTTTAAGTTTTGGTCTAGTAATAACTTGAGCTTTGTGTAATACTTTTTGACTATCATCAGTTTTGCTATAGATCAAAGGGAAAGAACAAACTTCAACTTCTAAATTTTTAATATCGTTTTCATCCCATGTACCTTCCATAAAATTACTTTGTATTTGTATTCCACCATTAAAAAAATCTCTAAATTTTGGTATAGGTTGTTGAGCATTTAAACGAAAGTATAAATGCGCAATATCCTTGATCAGATTCATTGTAGTTACTTTAATTTGATCCTTTTCATTGGATTTGAATGGTCTATAAAGAGAAACATTATTAATTATCTTATCAGATAAAGTTTCAATGAATGTATGGTTCTCCTTACAAAATCCTCTTGTGCCCAACACCGTACAAACTTGTTGACGCACTTTCGCTGGTGTAATATTGGCAATATCATCATCACCTTCACGTGTTTCGGCTAAACGTTGTGCCAAACCTACTAAGGATTTCATAGCTAGGTTAACATCTGATTCTAAATTATCATTTCTATTGGTCAAATTTGATTTTTCCAAATATTCAGTTATCTCACTAAATGATACATCAAGTATCAGCCGTTGTAAAGCTGCACTCAATATTGTCTTTCCAGTTTTACTATTAAACACAGCAGCACAATTGTAATTTGCTAAAAGCTTATCAGCTTCTTCTTCATTAATTACAATATCTCTAGCTTTAAGATCAGTAAATTCCGATAATGCTTTTTGTAATTCTGAAATTGTTTGTTGAAGTTGGGCTGAATCATCTTCACCCCAACGTAAATTGGTGCCTTTACCAAGAGCTGATTTATATCTAGATGCTTCTTCGTTAACATCTTTAAATTTTTTTTTTAATTCTTTAAGTTCAGCGTCTGATTCATTACATCTTTGTACTATTCTTTTTTTTTCTTGATCAAAACTTTGTTGTAAATTTTCAATATATTTTTCTAATTTATCATTTTGAGCACTTAACGCATGTTCTTGTTTAATCAATTCTCCTTTCTCAGCTTCTAAAGTTTTGTTTATATTTTTATAATTTATTGCGTGGCTTCGTAAATTTTCTACAATACCATAGTCTTGAGTTGTTCCAGTTAACTGAATAAAATCGTTCATATTATTATTATCACTTGCAGGATTATTGAGCCTTAGTTAAAGAAAAAAGAATGCGTTTTTGTGTACCCGTCATTTATTATTTTTTTTCTATTTCAATAAATGATGAAAATGCCACACATAATAGACACAGTACCACAAATAATTGAGCATTTTTAGATTAAAAATTATTTTACTGTTAAAAAAAATTTTTATTTATGAATCAGGAATAGTAAAAAATAATGGATGAGCAATTTGGATTTATGAGCCAAGTTCACTATATTCTGTGTAAATTAAATATTTGATTTATTTGCAAGACATTTATTCGGTCTGACTCGCAACCTTTTTAAGATTACTCCTAAACTCTTACACCATTGTAAATCCCAACATTAGTATTGATTAATACTTTTTTTATTCGAGGAGATGGTTTTTTTCATCACTTATTCTGTCGTGTACTAATAAAAAAAAGTAGTACGTAGTAATAGGTTGAAACTAGATCTCATCAATAAAACTTTACCTATAAATTTTTTGTTTATATAACAACACTGTAAGCATGATCTAAAAAATAAGAATTTCCTGTTATTTTGATAAAAGAAATCTTTAATTTGTGTAATCATATTTTTTTGGTCATTGTTGCACTGACCATTTCCAAAATACTTTCTTTTAACAAGCAATATGCAAGATTTCTTAAATGAACAAAAACATTTGTTATCTCTCAAGGTTATTCGACAATCAAATCCCTTGTCTATCGTCAACAAAGAAAAGAATGACAATGATAATAATAATAACACATCAACAGACTCTTTAGATCCATTAAATAACAATACATCATCAAGTATTGCAGAATCGAAAGTTCGCACTAAAGATTTAGATTTTTTTGAAACTGAATTATTACCATCAACATCATCCAAACCACTTGATAATATCTATTTAGGTGCAACTTTTAACAGTCATTTTATTATCAGCAACGATTCATTTCAATATGCTCGTGATATATCGATCAAAGTAGAACTTCAGACAAATTCACAACGTTTACTATTAATTGATACGTCAACAGGCCCCGTTTCACTTCTTGACCCAAAAAAATCATGTGAATTTATTATAAAGCATGAAATTAAAGAATTAGGAATTCATAATTTAACATGCCTGATTACTTATTCAACAATTGAAGGTGAAAGAAGACTTTTCACTAAATTTTATAAATTCCAAGTTTTAAATCCTTTTGCTGTTAAAACAAAAGTTAATAGTGTAGCAGATGGGACAATTTTTTTGGAAGTTTTAATACAAAATGTATCAAAAAGGAATATGTATTTGGAAAAAATGAATTTTGAACCAAATGAGATTTTTAATTATAAAGATTTTAATTATGTTGTCAATGATGAAGATGAAGAAGACGATAATAAAGGTAATAATAATAATAAATAAAATCAATTTAATCATTTTTTATTTACGTCAAACATTAGTAATAATAATTTTTTCCAAACAAAATAAATCAGAAAATAATATTGATGAATCAAATCAATCAAAGGATTTAATAAAAAAATCAATTGATTCAATTCCTGAAAGTATATTTGGTGATGGTAGTTATTTAAATCCACAAGATATTCGTCAATATTTGTATATGTTAACTCCAAAACCTACTATTGATGATAAAACTGCAAGATCTACAACTGCACTTGGTAAATTAGATATTGTATGGAGATCAAACTTGGGCGAAACTGGCAGATTACAAACAAGTCAATTAGCACGCAAACCACCACTATTGGATGAAATTGAACTTTCAGTTATTTCAATACCATCAATAATTGAACTTGAAATACCATTTAAATTAGGATGTCGATTGAGAAATCGTACATCTTCCACATTATCAGTTATCATATCATCTATTAAAAACAAAACGGAATCTGTTTTAATTAGTGGTATTTCAACAATTCAACTAGGTGAACTATCACCTGACGCTTATATTGATTTTAACATGGAATTTATTCCGTTAAGTCCAGGGTTACAAAAAATTACTGGAATAAAAATTACTGATATAATATCTAATTATACAAAAGAAATAGATCATTTCACAGACATTTTCGTTTTATTTTCCAAGTAATATTGGTGTTAATTAATTGTTCATTTAATTTATGTTGTAGATTAGAAAAAAAAAAATAATTAGATTAATTATAATATTAATAAGTACAAACTAAAAAAAAATTATTATTAATGTATTCGCTAAATGGTAACTTCTATACTATTCGAATCATCACTGCTTTGATTCGTTTCAACCAGACTCTAACAAATCACTTTATTATATATAAATATATATTGTAAATTAGAAAAAAATAATTAAATTATAATGTTATTAATAATGCAAATTAAAAACAAATTGTTATTGTTGTATTCATTAAACGGTAGCTTCTACACTATTCGAACCACTACTGCTTGATTCATTTCCATCAGATTCTAATAAATCACTTTCTAATAAATTTTCAATATATGGAATATCAGGTTGAGAAAGTGTATAGGTACATTGATAAACATATAAACTAATATTTCTAATAAATGATTCTAATTGTCTAACATTATTAATACTTTTAAGTGTGAGCATTGGACGTTTGCTTTCCTGATTTAAGGAATCAGGAATTGGTGCTAATGGAACTCCAGCTCTTAATCCTGACAAATCAACCGTTTGTCCTGATAAATGATCGCCCAATTTATCCATTAAAGCATAAGGTGACCATTCAAGTGCGTGATTTATTACATTAACTGTATCAGTTATAAACATCCATTCATAACTAAAATCAAAATGAGATAAATTAATTAATTTAAAGGAAAATAAAATTTTTTATTAAAAAAAAAAAAAATCTTACATTTGGAAATCCTCAGTTTGCAAAACAAAAATTAGATCTAAAAATTTACATGCAGACAAAAATACATTGACCGCTTCTGGCCGTTCAGGATTTTCATTTTGTATAAATATTCCAAAAAGCTTCACCTATTATAAGAAAATATATACAGATTATCCTTAACAATTATTTGTCCATTTATTGACAAAAAACAATTTCAAATACTTACCAGTTCAGTTAACAAAATTGGCCAAAAATTTGATAAATGTCTCTTAGAAAATCTACATAATAATATTCTTAGACACAAATATATCTACAATTTGTCAAAGACCAATTTATCAATGACAAAAAAAAAATTCATTGTTTGTATTGTTTTAAAATTTTATATATACGCACACAAGTATATAAATTATAATTTAATTACCTCAATATGAACCAATTCTGTCATTGGTAATTTAAATAAGTCGACCAATTTTTCTAAAATACTAGGAAGTTGTGGAAGATATTGATCAATCGCTCCACAAAAAATAACAAATGAAATTCGCCTTAAGCTCAGTGCTCGATTTAAAGATTCTTGCTCTTTACTAACAAACAATGTATTGGCAGATGATGTTGACACACGTCCTATGACTTCTGTGAATCTTTCTTTTTCTGAAATCATAATTGTTTGCAAAATCACTCGCCATTTTTTTGAAGCCCCAGATGTCATGTTGAAAAACCTGTTATCTAAAAAAACATCCCAGGCCTCTCTTCGCCAAACACGATAGGCAAAGGGAATTTGAGAAATTTCACTTAAAATATCAAGTATTATGTTCTCATTCCCAGAACTTAAAATATTTTAAATAAAATTAGTTAATAAAATGTTAATAATCATTAATAAAAATTGTCTATAAAAATAAATACTTACATTTGACGATTTTTTATATTCGGTGTAATGACATAATACATTAAATTTGTCAATATTGAAGTTATACGGTCTTGATCAGCAAACAACCTTCGAATATTGGGGATTACAACTGTAGATAAATATACATTGATCTAGGAAGGAGAAAAATTAATACATTAATATTGTTATAATTTCAAGCTAAAAAAATTAATAAATAAAAAAAATACCTGATCAATGATGAATTCTTCTTTTGATTTCCAAGAAAATTTTTTATCATCAGGTTGCGGAGTATCCGAACGAGTATTTGATTCTATTTCTTTCTCATCCGTTGCTTTTAAATAAAAGAAAAAATCAACTATTGTTAACTTACCGAATTTACCTAAAATATAATTAAATAATTAACTCGGACAAAAATACCATCGATTGTGGTTATGAATTCCCCATTTTGTGGAATTGATTTTCTAAGCCAAATTCCTTGGTCAAAAGATCGACCTGCAACTAAGATACAATAATCTAAGACGCGTTGATAAATGTCCTAAAAATTGATTTAATAATATATTTTTTTAGTGGACTATATAAATCTCTACAACATTTATATCGATATATTATTACCTGCATATCGCGACGAACTTTTTTATCCTCAAAATGAATAGCATTTGTTAATTTATCAGAGATCTCATGTAAAAACCTAAAATTATAAATTATGAAAAAAAAATATAAATGGTTTTTTTCTAAAAATATATTTTATATATATATATATATATATATATAATATAAAAAAATAATAACTAACCGGAGTAATGAGGGAAAAATATATTTAAACATTGTACCGTTTGTAAAATATTCTTTGGTGTAGGTCATACATTGTGGACATATTTCAATCAAGGAATCAATTCCTACAGTACTTGAATAAAATTCCAAAAATCGAATAATCATAATGTCTGATCTAAATAAAAATCAATGCTTTATTTTATTGCGGATGTTAAGATGTGGGAATTTATTGCATAAATTAAAATTTCATACAATTTGCCTGTCATTAACCCAACTTTTTTGGTTCTCTGTGTAGATTGTATACTTTGTGATTTTCCACGTGCTATCACCAATAAAGTAGTCATTATTTTAACAGGTGATGAACCAGGAATAATATTCAAAATTTCTATAACATTGTTATTAAGTTTTCCAATATCCTATAATAAATGTCCAAAAACCAGCTTATATTAATATTATAGTTGCGACCACTTTGGTTTCCTTTTTTGGATTGCGATAAAATCAGTATAATTAATACACAAATAAAAAAAAAAATCGTACCTCTTGACCAAGAATACTAATGTTAGGATTATCAACGTACCAGAGCTCCACAAAAGCTTCAACGAGTTCTGCATGTGCGTTCCTGTATAATTGCTCAAGCAGTTTTTTTATGCGACTTTTTACTTTTTCACCCATGTAAGTGAATGATATATTGAATGGATTTGTTCTAACTCGTGATTGATTGTTGGAAAAATAATTATTATTGAATATTGACCATATATCCAAAATAATTGATGAAATACTTGGATAAAAGAAACTCAAAATGTAATCTCGAGGCTAGTTGTAATACAAAATTTGTTATGAATATTATATGTGAATGTTAGAATCAATATTTAATGATATACCAACCTTTGGCTCGGTTGTTGTAGGTTCACTAGGACCCATATCCATTGAAAAAACGCCTGTGACATACCCTGTTAACCCTTCATACGTTTTTGCGCTAGAAGATGAACCATCAACTTCAGCCAACATTTTATCCTGCAGGCAAAATATTACAATTTTTTCAAATCCATTCAATAAAGTAATTATGTCCCAATCACTTGTCGCTGAATCATGATGTGATGTTTTACATTCAACTGGTGTAGGTTTACCAATATGAGCTATAATGGTGTAATGATTTTGTGTATCTGTTTTCCACTTACTCAATTGTTCACAAAGAGATCGAATTAAAGGTACTAGAATAATGTTAAAAGACTGTCGAAAGTATGGCAAAGACATTTGTATGAAATCCATCCATTCTTGCAAAAGTGGTCGATTTGATAGTTTTGAAATAGCATTTAACAAAACTTTAACGAAAAATTGGGAAGATCCTTCTTTTCGTAGATTTATTAACCCTTTATTATTTGTAGAGTTTTTCGTTGCTTCTGAATCTTCATAACCTGATAATTGTATTATATAGGGTATCGAGTTGGATGTTGATGACGATGATCCAGATATAACATTTTCATCAAAAGAGCTAATAGTAATAACCGAGGTTAACACCAAGTGTAAAAGTCTTGATTGTAAATCCAATTGTTTTATTGAAATACAATAAAGAAGTTTACGCAAAATACCCTCATGCACCATATAAAGTAAATCATTATCCACATATTCATAACTGCAGATCAACAAATGAAGAAATTCTGTAGCATGCACATGAATTGAATCATTTAATATACTCATAGATGATATTAAAGAATCTGGTAATTCAGTTTCAATGAATATCAATGCTGTCCTTATAAACATTTCGCTATAAGTTAAAGATGGAATGTTTTCAGGCAACCAACTACATTTAGAAAATATGTCAACTTTATCAACTGTTTTTTGAATTGCTTTTAAGAAGCTTTTGCCGCCAACGTGACACATACTTAATAAGGTCTCAAAGACATAATCAATTTGTGCTTGATTGAATGGTCTTTGATAATGAAGAGTCTCATACACTTCTCCATCAATAAGCACTTCAGCTCTTCGTCGGAGTATTGACGAGTCACAAAATATAGCAATCATAGGTTGTAGAATTCTATAGTAAGCTTTATGGTTATATCTCATCCAAGTTTCACCAGCTCGCTTATTTGTGGGATTTTCATCACGTAAAGTGTCTAACATCAGAAACATTGGTTGTGTAAATGAAATGTCGTTAGAATCAAAATCTTTTGATAGATCCCAAAAAAGACCAAAACGTTCATAATTTGAAACTCTTGTAGCAGCATCCTTGTGTATTAAATATTCAGATATTACAGCCTCGACATGATTTGCATTAGATATATCTTTAAGTTTCCATATAAGCTGGACAGTTCTCAAGTGTAATATTTCATACTGAGGTGCCAAAAATGACCACAAAGTATCAACGATTTGTCTTATTTGTTGTTTATTATCAATTAATTTTGTAGAAATCAATCGCTTATCAACCATAATGTCTAAAAGTGTTGACAATGCAGAGTCAATTATATTAAAATTCTTAACAATATAACAACATTTAATTAATGAACTAATGCATCCATCACAAAAAAACTTGTATCTAAGTTCCTCATATTCTGCAACATCATAGCGTACAGAATGCAATTGTGCCGCAACGTTTCTCAACAATCCACAACTATGATCCATTATGATAATAAACTTTCCTGAATAATCAAATACATCATTACATTGCTTTTCAGTCAATAAACAACTAATCAAGTTATTCAAAAATCCTTGAATTGCTTTCAACAGTTCTTCTACAAGATGCCTTCCACGAATACCAACAACATCTTTATTTTCAGATTCACAACTATAATAGTCACCTATATATTTCAATGGATCCATTCCAATTGATGAATCAAATCCTATTTGCTTTTCTATAGTTTCATCAATTGGGTTTAAAGAGTCTAAAGAAATAGAATTATTTGACTTTTTAATAGTTCCCAAAATTTCCTTCTTTGATTCTCTGCCACGAACACTAAATACATTGATGGGAATCTTTACTAAAAGATCTAATGCTAATTGTAATGCTGGTTCAATTTGCGGTATAATTTCTATGAATTTTGTACTATTGGATATATTCTGGATTAAATTCATATATTATTATTAATACTCAATAAATATTCATCTATTAATTAATTAATTAATTAAATTATTTACCTGGAGCTTACACAACAATGCAATCAAAAATAGTGGCAAATGAACTTGATCTACTTCTTCTTCATGCATTTTAAATGAGTTCAAAACAAAATTAACAAGTTCTAATCCCTAAAAATTGAAATCAACAACAATATTAAATTTTAATGTTCAATACAAAAAAACAATAATAAGAAAATCTACTTACTGAAGTATCTAATCCATCTGCAGAGAAACCATCATCAATTGAATTATATAATTTCATCCAAATTAAATATGGATCAATCATTTCAAGAAACATATTTGCAGTTTGTAATAACTTTTAACAGAATTGTTTAATTATGTAAAAAAAAAAAGAATAGCAAGTAATTAAAAAAAGATTATATCATATTTTACAACTCTTGAATCATAAATTTAGATTTAAATACTTCTTGTCCAAAAGATGAATTTTCAACTTTTATTTTCAATGATTGTAGTATTTCAATTAACAATTCTTGAATTATTGGTTGTCCAATTTCCCATTTATCCATCAAAGATATTAATATTTTATATGGTTTCTGTGCTGTTAAAAGGTCATTTGTCTTCTCAAAAAATAACTCCTATTTAAAAAAAATTTCTAAAATTCTTAATATATAAATATATTTATTTTTTTTTCACAATAATGAAACCTAAGGAATAATTATCATTCAAATTGATACAATTTAACATTAAGCTAGATTTAAAAATGTATTATTAAAAAAAATTTACCCTCATAGCAATGATAAGTGCAGATTTACCATATTCATGAAAATGCTTAATCTGTTGATCATGATTTTCATCAGGTCCTAGTAACCAAGCATAAAGTCTCTTATTTAAGGACATGTCTTTTCTTAAAACTACTGTTGCAGCTGTTTTCATCAACATTACTAATTCATTTTGTTTCACTATTCTAAAAATAAGTTATATAATTAATAATATATAATTACAATTTATAATTTTAACCAATTATTATTAATTTTTGATATATACCCTCCAACATTCTTAAACTTTAATGGAAAACTAACTACTAGTAATTGAAGAAGAGCTCTTGGAACCAAATTATGAGAATCATTTAAGGTTGCTGAAAAAGCCTGAACCATAATACCAACATCATCACATAACACTACAGCCAAGTCTTTATAAATCAAAAAGAAATTCATTAAGTTTATATATATATATAAGAGATTAATCTAATTCTTAAATTATCTTGCAATTAAAAATTACCTTCTTTGGTTATGATCTTTGGCATTCTTAAATTTAAAAAATTTAATGCTGGGATGCGCAAGGAAGGAGATGTAATTAACACTAACCACATACACTGAAAAAAATATGACTGCTCTACAATTCCACATAAATAATCTAAAAGTGATAAAACCTAAAATAAAAATATTAAATATAATTAAAATCATGATTATTTGAAATAATTTTTCTTTGAAATTTGAATGTTTACTTTTTCAAAAAATTCGCTTCCTTCTTCTTCAAGACCAGGTAATAACGCTGTAATAAAAGCTTTCATTACTGGTCTTAACCCTTTTTTTATTGGGAAGAAGTATTTTTCATATAATCCAAGTAATTGAGGCTTATAAATTAGATTTTTTTAAAAAAATAAATATTAAAACTTAATTTTTTTTTTCCAAAAAAAAAAAAAATAACAATAATAATTTACCTTAACTGACATGGTAGCATATTGAAAGAATGGAAATAAGCCTTGAGAATATATGGGCAGGTCTTCTTCTAATTGTTCGACCTATTTTTTTTTCCTATAATAAATATCAAAAAATTTTACAATAAAAACTAGTAAAAATATTTTGATTATAAACATACCCCTATGCTATCAAATATATAATCATAAACTTCTAAAGCTTTTTGATGTACTCCTGGGGGTAATGCTGGATTCAAAGACTGAGCTAGACGTTTACCAACCACCAATTTTCTTGGTATTACTGGAAATTGTGGAAAATCTTTAAGAGACTATACATACATACATACATACATATGTACATATATTTATAAAATAATAGTCTGAACAATGATCGCGCAATTGGAATGGAATACAATAATATATTAATTTTTTGCTACCTTCAAAAGTCTCGTTAGAAATGATATAAAATCAGCCCATTCATTGACTTCTCTATCAAATGATTGTAAAATTTTATCAACATTATAAACATATTTTTTATAGCGAGCATCTTTACGATATTTTTCAATTTCACGCATTTCTTATTTTTTATGATTTTTTGATTTTGTAAATTTTTAAAGAAAATAATTAAGTAAATTTGTATTACGCAAAATTTAAAACATACTAACCTAACCTCTTACATTGGAGTACGAGTCTTACGTAAACAGTCAGCCTACAATAATAATGTGCAAGTGCATGCATACACACATTTTTATATTCTTCGGTGCAGATGATGGATGGCCTTGCACTAAGGATACTCGCGGGATTTATGGGACAAATATTAGCGAAAGTGGTAATGTGACCAGGTCAACAATTTGCCTTGCAGTTTTAAATTGGATTTTTTTAAATCCATATTTTAACCATGTCTTGTGTTTTATTGTGTTTAAATTCAGGGAACAAAATTACATGGTGGTTTCCCATAACTATTTTACAAAACTTCGATGATATTAATCCACAAGATTAAAGTTGTTAGTTTCAGATAGTGATATGAGCAGCATAGTACATTTGCAAATCATTAAATCATTAATTATTATGAAGATCATTTGACAAATAGTGTCGGTCGGATATGAAAAAAATTTGCTTGTACAACGTTTCGTATTTCATCCTTCTTCCCAAAAATTCAGGTTACAAAAGTTCATTGACAAACTTTTACGATTTGCCATTTACAGCAAAATTCCAATTTACAATAAGCAAGCATCAAATAGCATATTGCAGATTGCAAATTACATTTCTATAAAAATGGTTTGTAGAGAATTTCCTTTTTTAAAAAAGCAGAAGGTTAGTGAGCTTTGAATGATTCATATGAACCACATAAAACAAGTAAGACTAATAATTGACAAGATTTTCCAAATGTTTATTATTATAATTGGACAATAAGTGTTCTATTCCAAAATTAGATTTTTTTCACATCTTAATTAATAATTGTTAATTATTTGTGAAATGTAATTTAATTTTACACCATATTTTGGTACCCGATGTTTCCTATCATTAAGGAAAAACTCAGGATCACATTCAACTAAATTTTTTTGAGGTAATTGAACTATAGTATTGTCTGAAAAGGGAAGATTTTTATCAGATTTAAATTTTCTTATAGGTGGCTGAAATATAAGAGTGAAATGATTTGTTTTTAATGATTATATGATTATGATGATGATGTAATTATAAAAATAATTTAATTATTTAATTAAAAACTTTTTTTTACCAAAGTATGATCAGCATGAGCAGGACACATCCACTTTTTGCTAATTGGTGGGCGGATCACCATAGGTGGATCCAAACAATCAAAATGCCAACTAAGTGAACAATAGTCACATGAAATCATTGGTTGTATTTGACAAGGACCTCTTTCACATATATAACATTTTTTCCATTGACCATATTCATCTTTTCGAAATTCACAATAATCATATTCTTTTAATTCACCATTCTTTCTAATGTAAAAATTTTAATATTTAATATATATATTGTATATAAATAATATATAATAAAAGGATAATTAATTACAATTTTTTCATCTTTAGTGTATCTACATATTCTCCATATTGACCAGTACCAACTAAATGAAATTGATTTAAAATTTTGAATATTAATTTTTCATTCTTTTTTCATTTGAACAATATAATATATGGAAAAAATTTAATTAATAAAACCTCCTTCAAAGGTATTTCTTAAGTTTTCAGGAAGTGAAAAAGATTTAGGATTAGATGAGCGTGCTTTTTCTATTAATTCTTGAAATAAGCCTTGTGGACCTGATGGTGGATTCTATTTTAATATTTAATATTCAATTGTTTAAAGAATTAACATTATAATAATTGAATAAAAATAAATTTTTATCTAAAATAAATAAAATTAATAAATCCTTAATTTTTATAAACTTACTTCTTCTGCATGACAAACTCTACAATACCAATTTCCTTGTGGTGTATTGTCAATATCAAGTGGAGGCACTAAACATGTGAAATGGAAAGCCCTTGGACAAGAATCACAACACATTAATTGACCACCATTACCACAAGTATTACAATAATCTTGATTTAACTATATAATAAATAATAAAAAACAGAATAAAGATTAATATAGAAGAGATATTGATTTGTATTAATTGATTGAATTAGAACACTACTTGATGATGCTGATGATGATGATGATGAGATGAAGGAGCAAGAACTTTTTTTGGTTTTGGAGTTCTAAAAGAATAATTCCTATCATTATTTGATAGATTAAAAATAGAAAGATGCTGCTATGAAAATTGTTTGAATTATTAAAAATCTAAAAAAACCTTATAGATTTACCTTGAATTTGAATCAGTGGTATTTTGATCTATAACATTTGGATCTGTAATATTTTGATCTATAGTATTTTGACCAATAATAATATTTGGCTCAGGTAAATTAGAAACATTCATGTTTATTATATATTAATATAGAGCACTCACTATAAAAATCTTTTTAAAAAAAAAATGGTGTGCTCCCAAACTCTTGTTACACGAATCAAATTGAGCAGAACATTGTCATACGGTCAAATATTTAAATCCAAATAACCCAGACAGACAGATCCACGCTACTCTCAAGAAAAAGTTTAACACTTCTTCAAGGTCATTTTTATTTCATTTATATTTAAAACAAAATAATCCCAAAAATAATGTAAATAGGAAAATTCAAAATTTTTTTACTAATGTTATCGGAATTGAAAATTGACGTTAATTCGTTGACTGAAATTCTCTAATTTTGCCCGAATTTATATTCTTTAAATTTTTATTTATTTATATTGTATTTGTTTATTTTTATTAATTATTTAGTAGAGATTAACGAAGATTCCGTGCTTAAAGCATGATCCACATGTAAACTTGATAATAACAACAACTCTACTGTGTCCGACTTATCTTACATGTATATTGTGTTTAAAGTACTATCCTGCGATTAAATTACTAAATTGTGATTACACATATTCATGTCTAAAACACGGATTACAGTCGACGCTCGTTATATTGAATATACTACATAGTGAATCGTACGATATAATGAAAGTTGGGAAATTTCGTTATATATAAATTCAGCACGATATAATGATTTTTAATATAAACTCTCCATATAATGATATAGCGAAGTTTTTTTGCCAAAAATCAATTCTTCCTTATATCGAGCGCCGACTGTAGTGTTGAAAGTGTTAAAGACGCATAATAATGATGACATTTATCATTATACGAGATCTGTAAATTCTGTATGTGTCCGTATTAGTAATAATAATAATAATAATAATAATAAGTACTTAATAGTAATAATAATATCAACTACAATGGATATATTATGAATAGTTGAGCATTCGAGAGTTGAATTTTATTATTACAGTCGACGCTCGCTATAAGGAAGAATTGATTTTTGGCAAAAAACTTCGCTATATCATTATATGGAGAGTTTATATTAAAAATCATTATATCGTGCTGAATTTATATATAACGAAATTTCCCAACTTTCATTATATCGTACAATTCACTATATAGTAGGTTCACTATAACGAGCGTCGACTGTATTATTATTATTATTGATTGAAGTATCAAACATCCAGATAAAACCACTATTTTAACCAATTTTTGTTTCACGTATTAATGACATAAAAATTCGTTATAACGCGACTAGTACTAGTTAAAATGTAATATTAATATTAATATTAATACTAATACGTATAGTATCCGTCCGTTATAACAAAACGAGGTCTCAATCACTGACTTTATTATGGAAATATGAGTCATATGAAAACATATAAATGATAGTGATGTTAGCCGTTTAAAAATCCTTAGCCGGCTAACATCACTAATAAATGATTGAGTCAGACACAATTAAAAATTGAGATTATGAGAATTGAGCCAAATTAATTTTGACAACACAGATCATATACAATCAGACAAAGTGAGTGAAGACATTTGAGCTACTGAAATACTCACGGTTTAGATTTTACATTGACCGGCTAATTAAAAAAAAGAAGCGTCAATTGATATTCCTAGTTCATTAGATAATGCAAGTCAGAAAGATAACAAAACAAGTAAAATTACAAAATATTCCTATACTTAAAGAAATTTCTTCCTGAAAGAAAAACCAAGACTCTACTTATAATTCGTCTTTTAATCTGAAAAATAAAGCCATGTAGGGTTATCCCCAGATAAAATTAATTAATGATTATTATATTGCATAAAGAAAAACGTTGTTTTCAGAAGACTATATTAGATTCAAACAAATGTTTCTATTAAATTTCTGTTCTAAAGAATTTGCTTTTTAACATCACAAGCATCACAAATAGAGAGAAGCATATATAAAAGGAATTAAATATCGAGATGGAAGGCTCCGAATCGAGTCGAATCGAATCGAATCAAGCCGGATTCATAAATTTTTTTAGTGTACCTCAATTTAATGGGTACTAACGGACTGAAGGTTTAATAATAACAATAAGCTAACGCTATAATAATAAAAATAAAATTCTTCTCGATATAACTAGAGATGTGACATGCGCATGTTTTTTTTGTTCAAATCAATGCAATCAATGTCCCATACACAATTCTATTCAAAAAAAAAAATTTGAATTTTTTAATTTTTACCAAGTTATTATTAATTATATTATTGATAATATTTTTAAGAAATGACAAAATCAAAAAATTCGGCCACATTTGTTAAACTGGGTAGAATTGATAATTTCATCGGCTTTATTCTAAAAGGAATTGGTTTGCTTTTTCTTTTATGAATGATAAAAAGAGAAATAAACCATCGACACCTGAATGTGTTTTAAATTGGTGTATATTTATTTTAATTACAAATTAAAATGTTCAAAAAATACCAACAATGATAATATGGATATTACAATTATGGTGATGGAAATGTGGGAAGCGAAAATGATGAAAGTGATGATTATGATGAAACAATTAGGATAGAAAGTGGTGAAGAAGGAGGCAATGGCAATGATAATGATATTGAAATTTGTATTTAGATATTTATTTTAAAAAAATGCGCATGATGCATGAAATCTTGCAATTTTTCATCTCTAAATATAACGGATCTTGATGTTAATAGTTAATATTAGATTTTTGGGAAAATTTCCTAATTGCCCAAACTATCCACTAAACCAAGATTGTGTACATTTTTAAATTTTAATTTTAATTGATAAAGGATATTATTTGGTAGGACAATTTTCGAAAAAAAAAGTAGTTTCGCCCAATACAAACATTTCGTCTATTATTAAAATTAGTTTAGGCCAATTAATTTCGGCAATTTCGGTTCGCTAAGTAAGTAGTTTCGGCCACCATCATTAATTAATAATAATATTAATTGATAATAATAATGATAACGTAATGACGAACAAAAAAGTAATAAAGTTTATAGTTGCACAATTCATAATAAATTCATTAAATCAACATAATAAATATAAAACTAATGAATGATAATAATAATGATTGTTATAAATTCGAATCGAATTGAATCGAATGAAATAAATCAAAAATTAGGTGATTCGATCCAATTCGAATCGGCTCGAATTTCATCGATTCGTTCAAAGCCTTAGTCAATTGTTGATAGAAGAAATTGATGAATTAAAAAAAAAAGAAATAAACATCAGCATGAAAACATTGTCAAATGTAAAGACGAACAAATTACACATTGTTTCATCATCTTGTGTAAGGGTTGTACCCACCGAATATTTATTCATTTTATCAATTAAATTTTAATCATTTGATGAATAAAAAATTTTAAATTTATTAATCATTTGCATCTATCAAAATTATCAAATGGATCAGGTGTTTTTTGTCCTTTTTGAGCAGCTAACAGGAAATCTACCACAAAGAATGGATCATCCAATTTGACTTCTTAGGACCACCCTTTTCTTCAAAATGTGAAAAGCCTCATTATTATCACCTTTTCCTAGTATAGTGAATGAATGTCTTCTTCCATTTTAAATTTTGAATTTTAAGTGAAATAATTAATTTAACTAATTAGAAATGAACAGAGAAAATTTCAATCCATCCAGTTACACGAGATATTGATTATCGGTTATTTCACTTTTAATTTTTGTTATTATATATATTTGGACAATCCGTCAATGAAAAAATCAAAATCAAATATTCACCGAATATTCAATGAACGTTATTCATTGGTGCAACCTCTAATTTTGTGGTATGTAAACTTGTTCTGAAAAAGTTATTGTCTGCAGTATGAAAATTCAAGGCAACATCCGAATATAAATATACCACTTTCGTCAAAAGTTATTTTCACGGTTATCAATCTTTTTAAATATTTATAATTTACATAATATAAAAACAATCTGTTCACCAAGTAAATTGATATTGTGCAATGATTAAAAAATGTTCGTCAAGACGATTTGTATAATGCTTAAAATGTCAGGTCAAATTTGGACATTATTGATAATTTTGCAACAAGTTACAAATTTTTGAAAAAAACTCGGAACAGATTAAGATGCCACGAAAAATGTTCCTTTTGATTTTGAAATATATATAAAGGTTGGTCGGATATTCGTTGAGAATTGAGATGAAGTGTTGTGATGCTAGATCACGTGATTGAAATACGATTGGCCGACGCTTCAATATAGTCGTTTTTAATTTTTTTAAAAAAATCCGAAATGCTAATCTTGTATTTCGACTCGGCCACACTAGGTTAAAAAAATTTATGTTACACCTTGTTTGACTGATTATTTATATTGTACCCAAAATTTTTAATTTGTGATAATTATATTAATTACATTAATTACATGCAGTTCTTAGAATGGATGTCGATACTTCGAAATTGATGGATGATTCGGCCATTCGGTTGATTATATATATATATATATATTCTTGTATAAATAAATAGACACGTTCATTTACATATTTAAAACAAACAAATTGATATTATTTAAAACAATGGAAAACATTTTGTTGCTAGAAAAACACATAACCTTACCATTTTCCCAAATAATAGGCTATTTGCTATTAGTAATAATAATAAAAATTCTTTATTATTTGGTTTACAACTGGTATTTAAGTCCTTTATCTAAAATACCAGGACCTAAACTTTCCAGAATTTCCAACTGGTCAATAATCACAAGAAAACCTTCCGGAAAGGTTTATCAATGGTTTTGGCAATTACATAAAGAATACGGAAGTGTTGTTAGAGTTTCGCCTAATTACGTCTTATTTTCTAGTAAAGAAGCCATTAGACAAATTATTGTCACTAATGTAAGCAATTATATAAATATATTCATTTCATAAGTTTTTTTTTCGATGCTAACAAAATAAAATCGTTTAAATTGATAGGATATGCCTAAAAGTGATTCTATCAAAGGAATTCGAGCTGATCGAAACATCCTAACATTATTTTCCGCAATGTAAATAAATAATTATATAATTGATAAAAATTTATATTTATCAATTTAACTTTAATTGATCAATTTTACTTTTATTTATAAAAATCTACAGTGACATGAAAATTCATAAAAGACGTGTAGGTATTAAATAAATATATATATCAGATATAAAACAAATTCATATCTTAAAAAGATTTTTACAATTAATATACTCCAATTAATTTTATATAGAGAGGCCTATTATCACCAGCATTCTCAATCAGATATATTTCATCTCTTGAACCATTAATGATTTCATGTGTAAAAGCTTTATCAGAAAAACTTCACTCGACAACTATAATCGCTAACAAAAAGTTACAATTAAATGAAAATGGATTACCTATTGTTAACATTTATGGATTAATACAAGCTTGTACTCTTGATATCATCGGGGAGGCTGCATTTGGTGGATCATTTCATATCGTTGAAAAAGGTACACATCCTTTACCCACCAAGATATTTTTGGAGTTGAAGAGACGTGTAATGCGTCATACATTTCCTTATATGAGACCCTTTTTGAAAAAGGATCCATGGACTTATGAGGTTGGTTCAATATCATTATCCATTCTTTTTATTCACCATTATATATATATATAGTTTGCTAACGAAAAATATCTATACAGTTCGTTTCAAATATAATCAAGGAAAGAAAAAAACTTAATGAAAAAGGCAAAAAATATGATGATATATTACAAATTTTAATTGATGTACGTGACGAAGAGTCGGGGAAACAATTGACAGAATTTGAAATACAAGAACAGGTAATGGAATTTTTAATAGCTGGTAGTGATACAAGTGGTTATACAGCAAGTATGGCAGTAATAATGTTGCTTCGCCATCCAGATAAATTGGATAAATTAATGGCAGAACTTAATTCAGCATATCCTCGTAACCCAGGACAACAAACTTTAGTAATCCCAACACATAGTTCCTTAAAAAATCTTAAGCATCTAAACGCGGTGTTAAGCGAAGTGTTAAGATTATTTCCTGTTTCAATGGGCGGTGTGATGAGGCAAACACGTCAAGACACTGTGATTGATGGATATTTAATACCAAAAGATACAATAATAGGTGCCTCAATATATCAAGTACATCATTCCAAAGAAATATGGGGCGTCGATGCTGATGAATTTTCACCTGAAAGGTGGTTAAACAATAACAACAATAACAATCATAATAATAATTATCCATCAATATCAGCTTCAAATAAAATTGGATATTATCCCTTTTCAGGTGGTTCAAGAAATTGCATCGGGCAAAATTTTGCATGGATGGAATTAAGATTGATATTGGCAAGTTTATTAATAAATTTTGAATTTGAAATGGTCCCTAATCAAGATATAGACATTAGTCATTTTATAACACCAACTTTAACTAGTAAAAAATTTCAAGTTGGCGTAAAATTAAGGAAAAAAAACATAAAATTTTCGTGAGTCAATTAAGGGTTTTTTTATTTGTCACATGTATTTTTATGTGTACATTGTAATAGTAATAGTATGAGAAGTCGAACTTAATAAAATGTATATAAATTCAATGAAATGTAAATTAAACAAGATTTTTTTTTTTAATAATAATAATAAATGTTGCTCAAATCCCATATGCTTGTAACAGTCGGATTGGTAACAAAAATTTGGTATTTTGGTTAAATGAGATCGTCTGAATATTTATTCCATGGTACTTAATACCTTTATATAAAATTATTATTAAACCACATCAAGGATAGCTCCTTCGATCGTTATCCCCATCCCCCATCCCCAACGATCAGACCCAGAATCCCGATAAATGTTGATATTCACTGAAAGAGCCGTACAGCGTAGGTAACTAAACGAATGATTTGCTTAATAGTTTATATATAATCTATTAACAACCATATCAAGAATAGAACCATCAGCCGTCGTACCCTCTCGTTTAATGCAAATTACAACAACTTTAAGAACCAGAACGGCCATTAACAAGTCCGGAAATCCCTAAGAAATCTGTCACCCTGCCTCCTCGAGATTTAAAATTCGTCGTAGAGCAGGATACTAACTCATTAACCCCACCCTGGAAGGTTTTGATACTATAACATAATAAAAATCATAGTAAAAATAAATGTTAAAATTTTTGTAAGTTTTAATTTTTGCATATTCGTATATGCGCGCGTGTGTGTTTTGCATATGTATATATTTTTTGGAATATTAGTGTTTATTGTGGTTGTAATAGGCATAGATGTGTGTCCCATTTTTTTCCTAAATAAAAAATAAATCACCAAAATCACCAAATAAACGGTTGTTCGTTATTTGTACCAATTTTTTTTGTGATGATATAATAATAAAGAGAGAACATTAATTAATTTTTTTGTGGGAAGAAATAAGAAAATAATTTTCGCCGAGTATGAGTGAAACATTTTATGATCGTGCCATTCTTGAAATGGGTTGATCAGATATTCCACTAACCAAAACTGTGACTTGCCACCTGAAAAATTATTAAATTCAACTACATATGTAAACTCGATAAGTCGGTCATGTGGGGTGAGCTCATGTGACTGACTTGTAAACCGATTTATCGAATTAAATTGCTTAAATATTAAGAAAATGGGGTGAAAATTTTGGCCGACTTATCGAGTTTACATATTTAGTATCAACAAAATTATCATGTTATTTCGAGATCGATAGTAAGAGATCATCAAGAAAGCAGTTCCCCCTTTAAAATGCTTTCGCTTTGACCATACACAAAACACAAGGATTGGCCCTGCCGCATGTAACGTATATATGAAATAATCACACAATATGATACGACGTTGGTTCACTAATTCGTAATGTACAAAAAAAAAAGGATATTTGAGCTATAGATTCCCTAGATGGGCCGGAGATGTCGTGCGAACATGGTAGTGGTAAGGGGAGATTAAAGAGAGAGAAAAAAAGAGAGAAGAAAGACACTTGCAAACAATATTCTTTTTGTACAAAGCACACTCTTTTTTACGAATTCTCAAATCTTTTGAATCTTTAATTACCACCAGGTAAAGAAGTGATTCACCCTAATTAAGAAATGATCTTTAAAAAAATTTTATATACCAATTTCAATTTTTTGTGTTACCCTTTTTCATTAAAATGTATTACGATACTAATACTACATGTGGTAATCACGATAGATCAAAGGGAATAAATAATAAACTTGGGACCTTGTACTTTTAACGCAAATTTTTTAAAAAGAAGAAACATTAACGAATAATTTAAAGAATAATAAATATGGAATACGAGGATGTTTTGACAAATCAGCCTGTTGTCATTGATAATGTATGTGTAAAATATATGTTTCCAAGTTGTTATATGGTAGAAATAAACTATTTATTTTTATTATTATTTTAAATAAAGGGTTCTGGTGTAATTAAAGCTGGTTTTGCTGGTGACGATCTTCCAAAATGTTTTATTTCTTCATAGTAATGTATTCAAATTTTTTTTAAAAAAATAAATATGTTTTAGTTTGTTATTTATATATTTATATCTCTTTTTTAAACCAATAAATCCAACTTTTTTAAAAAATAGTGTTGGACGACCAAAACATGTACGTATTATGGCAGGTGCAGTAGAAGGTGATGTTTTTATTGGACGTAAAGCTCAAGAATTGCGAGGACTACTTAAAATAAGGTATCCAATTGAACATGGAATTGTATCCGATTGGGATGATATGGAACGTATATGGAAATATATTTATGAAGACGAATTGAAGACTGCACCCGAAGAAGTATGTAAATATACATATATATAAAAGCACAATATACTATATATTTATTTTATTTATTCTATCGTTCTTTTTTGTTTTTGTTTTTTAGCATCCAGTACTTTTGACTGAAGCACCACTAAATCCAAGAAATAATAGAGACTCTGCTGCACAAATGTTTTTTGAGACATTTAATGCACCAGCTATGTTCACGTCTATTCAAGCTGTTTTAAGTCTGTAAATATCGAAAAATATAAAACCAATTATAATGAAAAAAATTATTGAAATTTTTTTTTTTTGTTTTTATAAATATTAAAAATAAAAATTTAATGTTATCATTATTACTATTTCAGTTATTCTTCAGGTAGAACAACTGGTATAGTTCTTGATTCTGGTGATGGTGTAACTCATGCTGTGCCAGTATATGAAGGATTTGCTCTTCCTCATGCTATTCGTAGAGTTGATATTGCTGGCCGGTAATTATAAACATTATTACTGTTACGATTCTTGTTATTATCACAATATCTTACTACCATCATCATAATATAATATCATCATATTTTCTTTTCTTTTGTCCTTTCAATATTTAAAATAGTGATGTTACAGAATATTTACAATTGCTTCTTCGTAAAGCTGGTTATAACTTTCATACCACGTCTGAAAAAGAAGTTGTTCGTATTATAAAAGAAAAAACTTGTTATGTTGCATTGAATCCAAGTAAAGAAGAAAAGGATACTAGTAGAGAATTTAACGATTTTATATTACCTGACGGTAATGTTGTTAAGGTAAATTGGAAAAAAATGAATGAAGTTTAGTAGTCGGTTGATTATATTAACAGGGAACATTTAATTATTTTTGGATTAGTTGAAAACTGAAAGATTTAAAGCACCAGAAATTTTATTCAATCCAGAATTAATTGGACAAGAATATGCAGGTGTTCATCAAGTTGTTGTTGATTCAATCAATAGAGCTGATTTAGATTTAAGAAAATCTTTATTTGCAAATGTTGTATTGTCTGGTGGTTCAACACTTTACAAAGGTAATTAATTATCACCATAGAGATAAAATATTATATTTATGTATAGTATTTTAACTTTATCATTATTATTATCATTATTATTATTATTAATTTACAAGATTATGGTACAAGATTGTTAAATGAAGTGAGGAAATTAGCTGTTAAAGATATCAAAATCAAGATTTTTGCACCACCAGAAAGAAAATACAGCACATGGATAGGTGGATCTATATTAGCAGCTTTAAGTACTTTTAAGAAGGTAAATAAATTATATATAAACAGAGAATTAACCAAATATATTAATATGTATATATATACACATATACTTATTATTTAGATGTGGGTTTCAGCTGAAGAATATCAAGAAGATCCAGAGATTATTCATAAAAAGAGTTTTTAATTTATTAGACAAAATTAACACCTATAACAACAACTGGCATGAATTATAGTTATTATATTCTTTATTTATTTATTATTTTATTATAACGAGATTACAAAATAAAATCATAATTACCACATAAACAATAATAATAAATGGTTTTTTTTTAATATGTTGGTGTTGCTATTAAGAAATATGGGCAAATTCTTGTCACAAGTATAAAGGCTGTTTTTCAATAGATGTTTTCTTTGAAAATTGCTTAATAATAATAATAATAAAAAAAGAAGGTTATAATAGCATAAAAAGATATTGTTAAACACTATAGATTATGGGAAAATTTGAGAGATCCAACCAACTACAAGGAATATATAATTTTAACAATTATAGCAATACTTTCCATTTTTTCTCTAATCAACTATTCTCCCTTTTTCCTACCTTTGTTATCGTATTTAATTTATTAATAAAATCTCAAATAAATGTATCAACAATAAGCTTATCCATCCGTAGGGGTTTTTTATGATAAGTGAGTGAGTGATGTTATATATGACAGTTTGTTAAAACTTTTGGGTGCAATAGATAATATATATGTGTTGTAAATATAAAAACAAGCAATTAAAATGTAAATGGTAGAGTTTGGAACCGTTGGATATTATCCGATTGGATCGGATGATAGATTAGTATTAGGTGCGGATATCTGTCGAAATTATAAGCGGGCATATTTGTCATCGTTATATAAAATTATCTAAAATATAAACACAAATCGTCTCTTTTATTTTCTAGTATTTGCGCGAAAAATACGTATCGGAAAGAGATATCAAGACAGTGATAAATTTAATGAATCAGAAGAAATAAAAGATACCAAATCTAACAAAGAAGCAGATTATTCTGAATTATTTCCAATTGTGGGAATACTAAATAATCCATCCGCCCTTTCTTGCTGTGGCCAACATTCTAAAGATGGAGTGAATGGCTTTTTTCCCGGCTTGATCATAAACGAAAAACGAACACAATTGAACTCAAATACCTTTTAAAAAATTTTGACTTTATACACGACAATGAAGTTGCTATATCTAAAGAGTAAGTATAATTTCATTGTTTGCATAAAATATCAATTTACCAAAGCAATGAAAATTATATAACATCAATTTAGTTATTATTATGAACAATATCAGGAGATGGCTCATTTCAATTTTGGGTAAAATTGCCCTTTTTTTTCTTTTTGATGATGGTATATTTAAAAAGCGGGTATTGGCCTCAAATAGGGTATTTTTGGGGAGGTTATGTTTGGGTAAATTTTTAACAAATATTTCAACCTTGTTTGTTTTACGTTTTATGGCCAAGTTTTGAGTTAACTTCTTGGCTACACTTGTCGATTATTTTGCTTACTGTCTCTTTCCTGTATCTAGAAATTGCGGCAAATCTGTGAGCACACTTTACAATGTAAATAACAATATATTACAAGTAAATAAAGATGGCTCTTATGGAGTTTCCTTTTTATTTGCTTTTCTTTTGGTCGATTGAAGCCAGCTGTACGTTTGTAACAGTCAATTTAACACAACAAAGTAAATAGAAATATGCGTTAACGACTTTGGTAAATAACTGTTAGCCCTTTGTATAGTAATAGGTGGTTAATCTGTCGACCCGTTTATTAAAAAATTAAACAAAAACGTTTACGCTTAACAGAAACCAAAAAACAAACTTTTGCTTTCTTTACTAAGGCAAATACCCAAAACCTTTGCTTTATACCAAAGCAAATAATCAAAATAAAAACCTCAAGAGTTCTATACTATTCTGATAACTAAACAGACAATTAAATTCTACCGTTTAATTTCCAACCACAAATTATTTGTAAAGAAATAATTTTATATTAACTTTTCTGCCTCTACAGTTAGAATTATAATTACCAGTTAATTAGATCGTTAGCTCTCAGAAAAATCTATTCGTTTGGTTAAAAAAATGAAAAAAACCCGACATACGATTGGATAACACTTTGATAAATCCGTTTTATTTATCATAGTAATGCTGTCAAAAAAAAAAAAAAGACGTGTATTATTCAAGTGTCTCTTTATTATAAAAATGGTAATTGTCATTCTTGCCATTGCGAAATTGTTTCGATATCCTAGGTTTCATGTCGATTTTTTTTAACCTCTTCAATTTAACCTTTTTCATGTTTTATTCTGATGGTTTTATTATCATGTTATTGTATTATTTGGGTTTTGGGTAACTTTGCATTTCATGGTAAACTGCGTGGTTTATTAACGTCAAGTGGGTTAGTTAGTTTTAGAGCAATTTCAACCCTTTAATCAAGATAATGTAAAAGATCGATTGAAAATAATCGAGAAAAAAAAATTCAGTTATTAAGTAAGTTTGTTCAGATATCCGTTTATCCGACCTATTAATTAGTATCCAAAGTTATTTAAAGTTGCCTATTAGACTTCATTTATCCGACGGTTCCAGACTAAGTGATGAGTATAAAAGATTTTAACAAACTTGTACCTGGTATTTATACACCACCACTAAAATTTCACGCAAAAATCAGCATTAGCATCAGTATTAGTATTGTATTTTTTTAGTAATAGTAATTAACAATAATAGCAATAGTAATAGGGAACGACAAAACGTTATTGTAAAAAGTAAGGCTGTTAAACAAGCCATTTAAGTTGTTTTGTAAATAAACCAAGAAACCTTGAGCTTTGTAAGGAAGCCATTTTTATTTATTTACACTTATCTGATACCCACAAAGTGTGCTTGCAGATTTGCTGAGGCTTTCTAGGTACAAGAAAGAAGTTGTAAGCGAGAACCAAAGTAAAGCCGTACTCGCTAAATAATCGGAAACTGAGTAAAACTACTTCGCTTTTTGTATTCATTAGAGACATTTGAGAGATTTCTAAACCTTCCCATAGTTCAATTCAATTATTTATAATCAAAATAAGACATGACTCCTTTTAAAGGGTGATTTACCCGCTCTTTCATAATTATTCCTTGTGCTACGTTGTATTTGTAACACCAAAATAAAAAAATGAATATTAGCTTTTGGGTAATCAATATTATTAAATAGATATATATAAAACGTGCGGTTAATGTGAAATTTCGATTTCGAGAAAAATTTTCCTCTTGCAATTTATTCATACATCATTTAAAATAAAATATTCAAAAAAAAAAAAAAAATGAATTTCTATAATATTTTGAAACGTCCAAGTAATAACGTTCTTCAAAATTCAAAAATACTTGTATTCACTTCTTTAACGAAAAGTTTTCATAGTTCCACCAATATAAAAAATGTTTCTACTACAAAAAGTCCTTCGAAAATACATATATTACTCCTTGGTGGTCCGGTATGTTATGTTAGAAACATGCATTCAGTTTATGGAACGTTTTGTTTGATAAAATTCAAAGAATTCATATAATATGATAATAGATATTTTCATAATTTAAAATGTTAGGTTTTTTAACAATATATATTTATTATTATTATTATTGGTTTAAAAGGGGTCGGGAAAAGGAACCCAGTCATCTAAAATAAACGATAATTTCGACATTACTACTATTTCAAGTGGTGACATTCTTCGTCAGAATATAGCCCATGGCACAAAAATTGGTAAAATTGCTGAAAAAGAAATTAAACGTGGAGGTGAGAAGATAATCCACGAGATTGTATATACGACAATAATTGATACTCTATTAAAGATTTATGCACGATTTTCGTCCTCTTTAACTTATATTTATAAACTTTTAGCATATGTTTCTGATGATATTATGATCAAACTTATAACCAATAAACTTTCTACTCTTAAAAATGAGGTATAATATCATTTAATTACCTTGTCTTATTTTATAATAATATTATTTATATACCTGTTTAATTTTAAAAGAATTGGCTATTAGATGGATTCCCAAGGACTTTAAATCAAGCAATAGCTTTAGACAACAATTTAAAGTTAAATAAACAGCCATTGAATATGGTTATTAATCTTCATGTGCCCGAAGAAGTTATCTTGCAAAGAATAATTGGTATGCACATAACAATAATAACAACAACAATAATATTTCAACAATAACTGATAATAAACTTTATTTTTTTCCTCGATTAAATAAAGATCGATGGGTTCATATACCTTCGGGACGTGTATATAATTTAAGTTATGATCCACCAAAAATTTCTGGACTAGATGATGTAACATGCGAAAGATTATCAAAACGTCCAGATGATAATCCGGTATGTGTTATCATTATTATATTTATTTGGAAGAAAAACAAATTGTTTGATAATAAATCGTTCTTATTTATATTTGCAGGAAATATTCAAGATTCGGCTCCAAAAATATCATGAATTAACAGAGCCTTTGCTGGAATATTATTCGAAACATAACTTATTGATAACATGTAGTGGACATACAAGTGATGAAATTTATCCAAAAATTCAACACGAATTGATTAATAGATTTGGTACTGGCATCGAAGAAAACTTTGTTAATAATGAACCTAAAGATGAAAATGTTTTAGATGTTGTTAATTTGAATTGAAGAGGAAAAAATAATATATAATTATTTATATATATATATCGATTATTTGATTTGTTGTAATTGAGATACGAATAATTTTATAGTAACAAGTAGATTGATTGATTAATTATAAATTATATAAATTATATAAAAAAAAATCTATTGTTATTTTTCTTAAAAAGGAATAGAAAAGGATAGTAGGCTTTTCTGTATATCTACCTGGATCATTGCTTTTGGCCTTAAAGTTTCTTTAACATGTGATATCTCTATTTCTTCAATAAGTTTTAATGAAACATCTCCATATTGTTTTACATAAACTTTCTAACAATGTATGGATCCTACTTAATGAAATGTAGATCTTTTTTCAAAAATTCGAGCTAATTCCGTATGGTTTCAATATTTTTAGGTATGTGAATGCGTATTTTTCCGTATTAATATCTATTTTGTATCGAAATGTGGTCATCTGACGCATTCCATATCAAAAACACGTATTCATTCTGCAACTATTCAGTATTAGTATAGTGCAAGACACTTAGTCTCTAAAACTTTCTGCGCCATAGCGTCAGTAATAAAAAGTTTATAGATAATTAAGATAAGAAATGATAATTAACAATTTGTTCATATACATGATTGCGTAATATGTAAAAAAGCAAAAGCCCACTACCATTTTGCGTTCTCGGTTTTTTTCTTATTATTATCACATGATAAAGGTCGACCATAAAATATTTTCAATTCTCTCTCTCTCTTCCAATTCGTTCATTTTTTAATATTAATATAAAAAAATCGTGTGACGCCGAGATCATATGAAGATTTTTTATATTAATATTGGGCAGATCAATTTAATATTAACAAATAATTCGTTTATTCATTTTTATTCGTTTTGCTCATTTTATTAATTTTATTATTATTAATTTTATTAATTTATTAGTTTATTAGTTTATTAGTTTTATTAATTTTTACGAGTTTTATACAGCGAGTTTCGGTTTAACGGATATTTCTTTCCAGAAAATTTTATCCGTTAAACTGAGAGATCTTCAAAAGCGAAACTTATGATCAAATCACGTGATATATATTAAATACGCACAGAAAAAAATAGCGATGATATTAATATCGTTGTTGACTCATAAATTCGTCAACTCGACATTGTTTTGCTCCTTGGGTACTTTTATAAGAAATTTCTCTTTTTAACTTCAATACATTTTTAATCATTTGAGAATCAACTTTTAAATCTTTTTGTTGTATATATAGTATTAGAATTATAATAGCATCATCATGAACGAGCACTCGATTTTTTAACCCATATACAATCTCACAATATTAATTTAATAATAGTAATGATTCTGTTTATTTGTCTTTATAATTAACATAATATCAAAACATTGTGTTATTATTACGCGCCATTTATCATAAAATTAGAGCCAAAAAAGACAAGGTACATAATTCTGAGAAAAATTTATTTATTATAATAATAAGTGACATGAATCCGGTAAACCGAATATAATCCGTTAAATCCGCTAAGCGAGATAAAATAGTTATTATTATTATATAGAAAAATTGGGGTTTGAAATTTATTGGTTTTATTCGATTTATTCGATTATTCGTTTTATTGAGTAAACATTCAATGCAATTCGAATAGCGAATAAAACAGATAATCTGAATAAACATTATTCGAATAGAAACTCTGTAGTCATGGAATAATCGTTTAACAGTGTTCTACTGCAAAATCAATTATATTAGAAATTGTTTTAGTTTTAAAAGTTTATATATATTGTATATACTATAGAATGTGATGATTCTTCTATACTTATATACGAAATTTTCCAAATCTATCTAGTCTTCCAATTTTCCTCCTACAGTTATGAAAATATTTACTCTTTCACTTAACCTCTTTATATTTTTTTAAAAATTAAAAAATTTTTTTTTATTCTTGTTTAAAGTTGATTTTGAATATCAAAGATTAATAAAAATAAATGTTATAAAATACTTATATGCCAATTTTAAATTGACAAATGTGGAGGGGATCGTAGAGTTTGTATTTTCATATTACACATATTGATCGGTAAAAAATCCGCATGTGTATGCTCAACTACATAAATTTCATTTTTCACGCACAACATAGATTTGTTGAGGTGAATAATATTAGTAATTTCGTTTTAATGAAATTTTCTTACGTACCTGTTCTAGTTTCCAGTTAAAGGAATATCGTCATCATCTTTCTCTTCTATCAATGAATTTCTTACCAAGTATCCAAAAGTTTGTAACATACAGATTATATAATAATGAGTTAATGCTCAATCAAGTGATCGATAAATAGTAAATCTGATGACGATAAATAAACAAATAAAATAAATAAAAGTTAATACTTCCATGTTGATCTCGATTTTACTATTACTATTCCACATTACAATGCAGGTATCAGTTGTTTTTCTTTTTTCATGTCATGTTAATGTTCCATCTGAATATTTCCCTTCTCATTAACATCATCAGGTGTAAGAATATTCATCATTTAGTATCTACAGTGTGTTAAGAATAGTGTTCCATGTCGCAATCCAAAAAAGGAAACCAAAGTGGTCGCAAAGGTGGTTGCAACCATCACCAAGAATTGCGACCAGCATCTATAGACAAAAACATAGTTGGACATGGACATACTTCAAAAGCAATGATCAAGGAGAAAATTTGTTCAATCTTAAATAAAACTGGTAAAGAATGAGCCAGATAAATCACAATTTGAAACAATTCATCCTTCAAATTAAATAAAATGTTTTTAATATATTAACCTATATTTACTGTTAACCCGGATGAAAAAATCCTCCTTCAAATGTCTTACGTGTAACGTCATTTTTTTTCGGAACCCCGCATATAAAATAATTGCCCCCAAAAAACAAAAAAAAAGCACATACAAGATAAAGATTACCAAATTATTGTTGCTCATTTTTTTTTAATAAAAAAAAATTACATTTAAAATTCTTTCAAAATAAAAAATAAAATTTATTTAAAATTTTTTATAATTTAACTGTATAAAATAGAATTAATTATATAAATACTAATAAATAATACTCTAAATAGTTAATGGAAAACGTCTGGAAAACACGGTAATTTATTAGGACCATTCCTTTATTATAGATTTAAAATTACTTTTATTTAAAAAAGGTTGATCAACTATAAATAAATTTTCACAAATAAAACAATATTTTTTAGTAAAAATTTAACTGTTAACACAGATCATAGTCATTCCAATTCAGCAACTACAACTACAACTTCAACAACAACAACAACAACAACAACGCCTACAACAACAACTTCAACATCTACAAAACTAATTCAACTTCAACGTACTAACTCTCCGAATGGTATGACGAGTAGCATTGCCGCTTCTACTGTTATCATCAAACCAACTACACCACTTGTAATGGGCACAGGCGGTGTTAGTAGTGGCGGTGGGAGTGGGTATCTTTCTAAAAATCGTTCAAATGTTATAGGAATTGGAAACTTAGAGGATAAAGACAACAAAGAAAAAGAAAATGGAAATGGTGGTAATGGATTAATTGGTTTAACGCGTCAGCAGTATATACCTAGTCCTACCAATGAAATTCACCCGCTACACTTTACATGGGTTTTTTGGTTTATGCATCGAACACCGGGAAGTAAAATACTAAATTATGAAAGTTCTATGAAGAAAATAGCAGCTTTTTCTTCAGTATGTAATTTTCACAATTAATTATTATTCTTTCCAAAGAGCAAGCAAGCAATTAATTAATTGTTTAAAAAAACGAGTAAACACTCAATTGGATCTATGTGCGCCATATAATAAAAAAAAAACTTTTTTTTTGATCAAAAATATCAGATAGAGGATTTTTGGGCAGTTTATAGTCATCTTCGAAAGCCTCACGAGTTACCTAATATTAGTGACTACCATCTTTTCAAGCAAGGCGTTAGACCAGTTTGGGAGGTACGAATCTTATTTTATAGTTTTTATAAAAACTAATTAATTAATAATTTTAAAATTTAAATATTAATCATTATAAAATAATATTTTTAATATTAGGATGATACTAATATTAATGGTGGCAAATGGATTGTGAGGTTAAAGAAGGGTCTGGCTAGTCGTTATTGGGAGAGTTTGGTGAGTTTTTATTATAAATATTTTTTTTCAAATATATATATATATATATAAATATATAAATCAAGCAAATAAGTAAACAAATAAAATAAAAAATAAAAAACAAAAAATATATATATATAAAAATAATTATTTATCATTAAATATAGGAGAAAAAAATTTTAATTAAAAAAATATATATTTGAAACAAAAAAAATTAGGTAAACAACATTTTACTTAGTAACATCAAATATGTATTCTAACATATGCACACACACATATATATATGCAACTCTCTTTATCTGTTTAGGTGATGGCGGTTATTGGAGACCAATTTGATGTTGGCTCAGAAATATGTGGTGCTGTACTGTCTATACGTAGTTCTGAAGATATTTTGTCCTTGTGGAATCAATCAGCACACGAAGGCAGAATTAATTTAAAAATAAGGTCAGTTTAATTTTTTTATCAAAAAGTATATTAAATAAATTAATAACAATAGTAATAATATTAATCATAATATTGATTATGCAGAGATACTATGAAACGGGTTTTAAATTTGCCTTCTGATACGATCATGGAATACAAAACACACAATGACGCTTTGAAAGATAATTCAAGTTTCAGAAACACTGACGTTTTTCGATAAAATCGATTAATTTTAAAATAAATTTAGATTAAGTCAACAGGAAACAAAATGTAATTGTTAAGTGTAGTTTGCGATAAAATATTATATTAATTTACCTTAAAAAAAAAAAAGTTATATTCAAAAAAGTGAAATTTTTATTTTATTATTTCCTTCGATTTTTATCGATAATATAAAGGTTTCGATTTATTTTGTTTTGTTTTTTACGACAAGGGAGGTTCTGATATTAGATGTGAAAATTGAAAATTTATGGGGATAGGTTTGGCTCGATTAATATAC